CAACAATTGCTGATGTTAAGGGAGACCGTGCTTAACAACTAGCTTATAACCTTTTTGGAAATGTGCACATTAAACCTCTTATACCAGTTCCAGCTAGCTTCAGAATGCCACTGAGACCTGGCATTGAGCTCCCCTTTTACACTAAAATTATGCTTTAGTTACAAATAGATGTCATCAACACCCCCGCAATGGTTCCCAGAGTAGAGCATGGTGGTACACATTTGTAATCCTAGCACTTAGAAGGGTGAGGTAAAAGGGTCACAAATCTGACACTAACCTGGGTTATATACAATGATACAAAATAATATTAATAAATTTGTTTCCAGGAAAAATACTCATTGTTTCCCAAGTGAACTTGGGTGGGACATAGACAGACATAGCTCCCCGACCACTGCCCTCCTGTCTCCTCTCCAGCACTGATCTGTGCTAATTTACACTTGTTGCCAGTGTAGGCTGGTGGCCTTACTCTCTGCATGGCACACTACAAGCCCTATGAAAGCTCAAACCAGACAAAATCCCAGCATAGACATGGGAAGTGGGTAAGAAATCCCATCCCAACTAAGGAGTCTTTGACAGCTGATGACTGCTGAGATGGGGAGAGACAGTGTCTTACTGGGATGGGACTCTTGGTGGGACACTGGATGAACCCACACCAAAGGACATTTGGGGACACAAATCAGACTGTAGACCGTGTTATATATATATGAGAGTACATTAAATTGGATGGGAGCACTGGGGGTAGGTGTGGATAGGAGAGGGGATCTAAATACCATCAAGCTATGTTGTATGAAAATTATAAAAATTCAATAAGCAACAAAATAAAAATTAATTAGAAAAAATTCCAAAAGTTAAAACAGAAGAGTGTCTGTTCCAAAGGGATGACTGAAAACTCCCAGCTCCATCTGGGGAGCTAAGAGGTGAGAAGACTGCTGGCCCAGTTCCCGCCTTCTTATCTCGGAGCTCTTTGCCCTTTGTCTTTCGCATTCAAAACAGATTTGTGGCTCATGTTTTGGGACTGAGATGTCAGCATATTTTTCATTTTCATTTAATAAAGTCACAGTCATGTCATATCTCTTTTTGTAGTAAACTTTGAAACCACCACATACTAATCCTGATGTTCTTACCAAAGTTTCTACCTCATCTGGTTTTCCTCAGTTTTAAACCAAATCCCATGTCATGGGAAACGTCCCCTCTCTCCATCCAGGCAAACTGGGACTGTCAGTCTCTCAAAGTTCCTACAAAGGTGTGGGTCCTATTGTGAATGTTCCGGGTACTTAACCCTGTAACAGGCTTCCTGCTGATGATATTCCTGAAGGCATGGAGCTGATGACTAAAAGGATTAGAACTTTAAAAGAAAAAAATATCAAGTTTATGAAACCTTTTTTCTTTCATAGGATATGGTTCTATTTTTTAGGCCTTTTCATTAGAATAAATGATAGAACCCTTTGACTAGAAGAAAATACCAAGTGAGTACAAAATGCTAGTATTTATTTTCCACAGTGTTGTATCTTCTATTTATCTTGCATGTCATAAAACTGTAGCAAATGATGGTATGATAACAATATTAAGATGTTTGAAAATGGGCCAGGCATTGTGGTGCACACCTTTAATCGCAGAACTTGGGAGGCAGAGGCAAGTGGATCTCTGTGAGAAGAAGGCTAGCGTGGTCTACATAGCGAGTTCCAGGCTAGCTGGGGCTACAGGGAGACCCTGTCTCAAAACCAAATGTTTAATGTAACAGTTTATAACTTTGTGGGACATGCATAGCAGTGGACTTTGTATGTAAATGGTTGATGCTTCCACAGGTCAACATTCAAGTAATCTGTCTTTGATTGAGGAAGTGTTCATGAACACTCTTGTGAAGTAATTTCACAGTGCAAAGTTGGGTGGCTTAGCTGACTGTCCAGCATTCATTTCCCTGAACATGAGACCCATCTTCATTGCTGTAGGAATTTACTACTGGAAAAAAAAAATTAGCTAAAGCGCTGTCCATAATGTATCACTTTGTTAGAGTAGCAGAATGTGTTCCCATAAGAATACACATGTCCTTGCATATATCTTAATAATTTTGTGTATTTTATAGTAAATTTTTGCCTACTACATACTGGCTATGTTATGGCCCACAAGAAAAAAAATGTAATTGTGCGTTACAGTAATGTAATGTACTGTAATGTAATGTAATGTAATGTAATGTAAAAAATGTAATGGTGTGTGTTCAGTGTTCAATAAGTAATGGAGGTAACTAATGGCAGAAGGATGTATAGTAACATACATCCTCTGGCTACACAGATGTATAACTGTATTAATGTTTTTGTTAATATTAAATCATTTAGCAAATTCAATATTCCTACTAAACAGCACTTTACATAATGTTTTAGTAGCCAAGGAGCCTTAGTGTGAAAACAAACACATGTATTGGCAGTTACTAGAAAGATTAAAAATTGCATTCCACAAGTAAAAAAAAAAGGAATAAACATATCTGGTATAATGTGATATTCATATTCCTAATGTGTTCAGGAAAATGTTACAGTAAAAATTATAGGGAGAAAAACAACAGTAAGAGGCAGACCATTCTAAATTTATCTAACTTTATAACACAGCACTGACTCACAAAGGTGCAAAACACCAATAAAATACTAACACAGTTCCCAAGTAAAAGAAACTTGAAAGGTTGAAGCTGCCAAAATGTGGATGAAAGTGGAAAATGTCAGAGGCAAACTGTATAATTAACAGTTCATCCCAAGACAACCCGCGGCCAAAGAAAACAGAAAGGAGGCATGTGAGGTGAGGGGCCTTGTGTGAGGCTCCAAGGCCCACTCTTCATCTAGGATGCGACTCTGTCCAAGTATCTTGCACCTGATTGCTGTTATTTGGTAGCTCACAGCTATAGAGTTGGGGAGAACTCTCCATAAAATGATTCTGGCTTATGCTGACATCATCTTCTAGTAACCAATTATATGTGATCTGATTATGCTACAGAAATTACTATTTTATTTTTCCAAGTTTTCCTAATTAAGATGGTTCACCAAAAAGGTTCAAAGTTCTAGGTGATCATATGTACTGAATTCAAAACCCTGGGCATGAAAAGTTACTGAACTTCAGTGTTTTGGAAAATAATGCTACACATGTACTGAAAACAAAATAGGTTAAAATGGAATTAAATCTCCTCTCAAATAAAAAAGTACAAAGTAATGTACAACATTAACCTGTTTGTCTGACTGTCAAATACTTGTAAGTGGTCTTATGAGATTTCTGTGTGTACGCACTGTAAGTTGTAAGACATGCACACACTGCTGAGTTCCATGACTTTGCATTTGGTATATATATATAGTCTTTTTGAGACAGGATCTCCCTGTAGCCCCAGCTGGCCTGAATTCACTATGGAGACCAGGCTGGCCTTGAACTCACAGAGATCCACCTGCCTCAGCCTCCCAAGTGCTGGTATTAAAGGCGTGCACCACCATGCCCAGCCTATTTTTTAATATGACTGTAATGTATAAGAAGTGTTCAGGGGTCAAAATCTTGTTTATTTAACTAATACTCACTTGGGAACCAGTCACTTTTAAAGGTATGCTGAGCAAATAAAGGCTTCAAGTAATATGAAATCCTTGAAAAGAATAAGCCACCTTTGGTGAAAGCTTTTCTATTAATTCTGTCACTAAAGCTGTTTCAGGCCTCACAGAGTTTTATGATATAGTATATTTTATATACATATATACTTTAATATAGTTGTATGATATTTAAGTTTTATAGAAATGTATATTTAAGACATTAGCTGTGTCAGTAGTTCTGAGATGACTTGCTCAGGAATCTCTCTGCACCCTCTGGCACTCTCAGAGGAGGGCGGGAGTCCCAGAATTGCTTTGCTTTTGTCCACGTGTCTAAAATATGACCAGTGTTTGACATTTGCATAAATTCACTTTAAACAGTCACACCATTAAAACAGAGCATTCTTTTCCATCAATACTAATTCTAGATCATATAATGCCTGGCCTTTAATGAGGACTTCAATAAATGTTGATTGATAATGATGATTATTAAAATGATATGTTAAGCCCATCTCCTCATTTGAGAAATGCTTTGTTTTGAGATGTCAGACTTACATCTCTGCCTGAAAATTTTCTAATTAAAATCACCACTTTGGCACAAAAGCTTAAAATGTGCAAAGTTGCTGCAATTAGTGAATTGTGCATCCATATGGATGTTACCAAACAGCTTTCAACCTAAAGGATTTGGACTATTTTGAATGATAGACCTTCTGTTAAGCTTAAAACAAAGCCTGTCTATCTCTGTATTCATTTTAATTAATATTGTGTTGCTGGTCTCAAAGATGTGTTCTCTTCTGGAGGGAAGAGGCACGGTTATCACAAAAACAAGTTACAGAAGTAGGTTTAGCAAAGTTCCTACTTCCTTCAACTCCACACTATCTCTCCCATCGTTCAGGGAACTTATATAGGGTCAGAGAAACTGGAAAATATAGATTTCAGATGTTCTAAAAGAAAACCTATATTTCTAGCTAAATCATAATATGAATTTTCTCAAAAAGCTAATAAACTATCATTAGATTTTCTGAATTCAATAAGAAACCTAAAGTATTCTTAATCCAACATCGATATAAAACATTCAGAATAAAAGCTGATCGTGTGGCATACATACACACAAATGAGTGTGTGTGTGTGTGTGTGTGTGTGTGTGTGTGTGTTTAATACCTGTGCTTGCCCTGGGTACTTAGCACTTAACATATTATTCATAGACTTAATTATGTACAATAATAAAGTGTACTTGAAGATAAATTTGGTACAAAGGCTTTGTTTTTCTTGGTGTTTTAAGCAAAACAACTCAAAGTGGCAGAGCCTTAAAGATTGGCTGATTGGTTTCCCCTGGCACTTTTCTTGTGAATCTTGTAGACATAAAACTTAGGGAGAAGATTTCTACAGACAGCATTTTAGTAAAGGTCCTAATTTCTAAGTATTTTCAAATCATTCTCTCCATACCTTTAGAAAGACACCCAGATGGCTGCTGGAATCCACTGACTGGGCACCCAAATAAGTTCAATTTGGAATACTAGTTTTAAAAGTCAGTCAGGTAAAGTGATTTAAAAAGATAAATTGGTCACTGAATTGTTAATAATAGAGTAAATGTGTAAAATTACAAAGTTTTATTATACTTTACCAGAACATAAGAATAAACTAATTCATACAACACCGAGCAGAAGGGCCCCCAAACCAGTGAATCCTCAGAAGATGCCAGGTCCCATTTGCTTTGGTTTTTCTGTTTTATTCCAGCGTGGAAAGCCATTGCCTATACCCTCTAGATCTGGCACAGAGCCACCCAATTTTTCCATATTACTTGGATTATTTATTTTGATTTCCTTTTTTTCAAGCGTGTAATTAATTGCATACTTCTCTTTAAATGCCTGCCATGTGCCACTCTTTTGGATTCTACATTTGAGAGGGAGGTTAGCTTTAGTTTTACTTTAGTTTTACTCTGAGTCAGAAACAGATATGTCTAAGCTTGATTAAATGATACTTTAAAAGAGAGAAAGAGAGAGAGAGAGAGAGAGAGAGAGAGAGAGAGAGAGAGTGAGAGTACCTCTTTGGTTTATAAATCCTGTATTGGATTTGCTATCATGAGGTAGCTTCCTTTTTGTCAAAAGGTAGTGTTTCTTCTCTATTAAGCAGAGACTTCTTCAGGAGTCTCTCAAATAGAAATTTTCCGATTACTCCTTGGCCACATATACATCCTAAGACTATCCTGTTCATAGTGTGATGAAGGGAAAACCTACAGTCATTTTAATTTTGAACCAAAATAATCACTTTTTTCCAGTGAGGCTTAGAGGAAAAACTATTTTTTTAAGTGCCAGTCTTCCTGTAAAAAAAAAAAAATACTTTAAGGAAGGACAGTGAGCCAGGCTGGGGGGAGGGGGGGCGGTGAGGGGGAGGAATCTACAATAAAAACAAACACAAAACCTTAAAGAGGATAAACGGGCCATCTGAGCACATTGGAACATCCTGAGCTGGGGCCTCGGTTCTGCTCTCCCTCGGGCATGTAAATGGCGTGCATGTGTATAGGGGTGTGTGTATGTACACACAAAGATTTATCAGAGAGCACAGAGGGAATTAGAAAGAGCCTAGCCGGGTTTTAATTTGGGTCTGTTTGCTTGCATTTAGCACTTAAGGGCTTCTACATTCTGCTTGCTCAAAAGAGTGCTGAAGCACTCCTTGCTTATGCCTCAAATCAGAAATGCATGAAGTGCAGCTGCGGAGATAATACATTTTCCCCAAAGGCTTTGGCTGAGCAAATTAGGTGTCAATGGGGTGCCCGCGCAGGCAGTACTCTCTCTAATTAGTCTCTTGAGCCTAGTTGGTGGCGGGTATGAGATGATCTAATCAATTGGTCTGTGTCTGATGGTTCGTGTAAAAATTCTAGCAGGCAGACTGTCTCCCACAGGTCACCCACCTGCACAGCGGGACTGCTCATTTTCATTTCTCATCTCCTCCATCACATGATGCTGACAGTTGGTTTTAAGGAAATTGAATCCAAAAAATATCTAGTTCATAGGGCACATGGGTCAGAACAAAGTTGCATTATGGGTACCGGCAATCCAATTAATTAATATTTATAGCTGAGGAGCTCTATGTAGATATTTCTGACTAAGGATTTTGTCAATTGAATCCAAGTTCTTGTTTAAGACATTCATTTTAGAGAAAGGACAATGTAAAAACTGAAAACTAGATAAAACTGGCACCCACCAATCTTATGATTTACAGACCTATGACTGTCCACACACTGTTGAGCTTGTACTTCATTATTTCCTGTTCTTTGGTATTGGGCATGTGATGTGTTTTAACTATCAATCAAATGTAAGGGGAAGGTTTACATTTGCATCATATTTACTTCCCTGTCACAGCATATCTTCTGTCATCCTAAACCTCCAGTCATGAAATACATGATTACACTTAGATTTCTAAAAATGTTTTCTGTGCTTTCGTTAAAAATTGAAGCTAATGCTACCCAAGGCAAGAGGAGGGGGATCCTGGGCTCTGTGAGAGCATCAAGAGGAGGGGCAACCTGTGCTTTGTGAGAGCTTCAAGTCAGGGTAGATGGTTACAATGTGGGCTCTTCAGAATCATCTCACAGAGGTGGGAACCATACTCTCACTGGCATCTCTTCTTTTCTCATTCTTGGACTCTTCCATTAAATGTCAGAACCCAAAGCTGGATTTATCATAGACACTGCATTTACCATTTACTCTCCAATCACTGCTATTATGTGTTATCCCTTATTCAGTTCTGGTTAAACTTTAGGTTAGGAATGTATGATTTTTCTAGAGATTGCACTTGAAAAGAACCAGGACAAAGACAATACAAATATTAACAAGTCTTAAATGAACTCAATAAGATAGTAATGTGTATGGTGACCACATAATTTATTGTTACATGAATCAGATATATTGGGAACCAAATCATGTCTTTCAAATATATCATAGAGAAAAAAAAAAAAGCATCTGTCCTGTAGCAAGGAGTTAATCCTGACCTTTCTTGGAGATGGTGTGTCTGTGGATGGCCTTCTCTAGACCCAGCATAGTAGCTGGGCACTGTTGTTACAGTAGTTACTCTGTACCATCTGTTTCAGCAAGAACAGAGCCAAGCCATAGCCCTGTTTATCTGTGAGTATGCCACTCTGACTCACTTCCATTTTCCTTTCCTGTTCATTTATCAACTACTTACTGAGTGCCTGAGCCATGCCTATGCTATGCCCTTGACAACGTCAAGTCTAATCAGTATCACAGTGATGCCATATGCATCCTTACTTGCATCTTAAAAGGGAATATATCAACAAGGACTGAGTCTCTGGTTCAGGAAGTCAACTTGGACACCAGGTATTCATTCCATTGCAGGTCTCTATTCTGTTGATTAAAGTGGTACAGAGAGGAGAACCAAGCCAAGACCATATCATTTGGGTCTAGTCATAAGAGCCCAATGCCTAGGTAAGCAGTTGTCAACAGTGACAAATAGCAAAAAACATACATAGCCCCTTTGGCTGGAGTAAGTCTACCTTGAAGAGCTGGAATCCAACTTCAGTTTAAGCTGAGTAGAATAAAAAGCATACTTTTGTCATCTGCTTAATAAAAGTGTCAAGGTTGGTAGCGGAGTTGGGGACTGAATAAAGACACTTGAGGCTTATAAACTCATATCTGTACAACCAGGCAGGGGTGAAGGGTGAACTTGAGTGGTAGAGAATGGTACACAAAGCAATGAGTATATGAGTTAACAACAATAGGATTTAGAGGTAGCAGGGGTACGGCCTCTCCCAGAAACTTGATAGAAGACTTCTGTTTCTGTTCCATCCAGTCAGAAAACAGAGAACTCTCCAGAAAGTGATTCTACCTTATTTCCATACACAAAACTCAGCATAAAATGAATGGAAGGTCTAACTGTAATGACTAAAACTATAGGAACTCATAAAAGAAAATAGAGGTGCTAATCTTTATAACATTGAATTTCACCATGAATATTTTAAATATTGCACCAAAAGTATAAGTAACAAAATAAAATTGTATAAATTAAGCTTCAAAATTCAAATGACACAGTCAATGGAATGCTAGGATAATCTGTAGGATAAAATATTTTCAAACTTTATAGTTCATAAGAGATTAATATCCCAAAAGCATAAAGAACTGCAACTCAACAACAAAAACAATTTTAAGGAACTAGAGAGATGGCTCAGTGCTTAAGAACACTGGCTACTCTTCCAGAGGATCCAGGTTCAGTTCCTAGCACCCACATGGAACTCCAGTTCCACTGGATCCAATGCCCTCTTCTGGCCACTGCATGACATGGGTGTACTTACACACATACAGGCAATGCACTTATACACATAAAGTAAAAATTAATTAAAAACAGTTTCAAACTGAGTAAAGGACTTGAACAGATATTTCTCTAAAGAAAATATTCATATGGCAAATAAGCACATGAAAAAGGTATTCAGGATCATTACCCGTTAGGAAAAGGCAAATTAATAAAAACCAAACCAGTTCATCATAATAGGATAACTATAATTTTTTTAAAAATGAGAAAAACAGCAAGTATTGGCATGGGTATAGAAATTGGAATCCTTCTGCATTGCTCTTGAGAAGGTAAAATGGTTCATCCATTTTGGAAGATTTTCTCAGTTTCTCAAGAATTTAAGCACAGATTCACCATATAACCCAGAAATTGCACTCCTAGGTATATAACCAAAAGAATTCAAAACATGTTTTGAAGCAAACACTTGTTATATCATCGTTGATAGAAAGTTTACAAGAGCCACAAGGTGATACAGCCCAAATATACATTAACTGATGAATGGATAATGAAGGTGTGATATATCCATACAATGCAATATTTTTCAGCCATATGTTATAAAATAATGAAGTGCTGACACCTACTACATTATGCTTATTGAAAACTGTGAGATGTAGTGGGTCACATTTGTGAACTTATATGAAATATCTAGAATAAGTAAATCCATAGAGACAGAAAGACTAGTAGTCATTTCCAGAGACTGGGCCAAGGGAGGTATGAGGAATGGACGCTCTAAATGGCATGGAGTTGCCTTTGAAAGTGATGAAATGCTTTATTACCACAGAGGCATGATGGCTGTACAACACTGAATGGGAGGTTGAAATTCTGAAAATCCATCATAATAAGTGAAGTGAAGCTCATGAGAGGGTAGGGATGATGCTATTCTAGTGGATCTTAAGTATAAGAGCAGAACTTTCTGCTCTCTTGGTTCAGGCATTGTCAGGTCACTGCCAGACACAGAATGCCGTTAATGCCACAACCCATGGGGGCAGCATCAAGGCAAGTGTATGTGAAGTTTCCAGAATAGTCAAACCTGGGGAGCATACTTTGGCCAAGTTTCCTCTGTGTCTGGGAAGAAGACAGAATCTTCTTGTGATGGGACCAGGCAGGCCTGGCTAGGCAGTCACTGGGAACAAACTTTTGAATCTAGGGAATGTATAGATTCTGGGATGAGATGGAAATGGAGATGATGCATCAACTCCTTCCACTGTGGGACTTGAACTTGGGGGTCCCACACTTGCCTATCTAGGCATTCTCTTTCCAACCAAGAGGTTCAGCTAAAAAACTTTTAAGAGTTTAAAAACATCATGGAGCGATGCACAGGGAACACCCCTTCATTTCCCTTAACCCACTTGCCTATAAGGGGCTCGGAAGTTTCAAACAGATGTCATTGGAAACAAGCAAGCCTGTTGGGAGGAGGGTGCCAATTCAGGCAGTGCTGACCAACTTTCGCCCTGCTGAATCTAAAGTAACTGATAATAGGCAACCTAGGAATCATATACAGCTGACTTTAGAAGCATGTGTGTGATCCATTTTTCTATTTCTTATTCATTAAAACGAACTTGGCGATGTGTCCTTTTAACAGTCTGTAGGGTGCTACAGGCACTTAATTAAGACCAGTATTGCTGCTGCCAGTCGAGGGAAGGAATTCTGCTATCTTTTTCTCTAAATAATCCAAGAAGAAGTTAACCCATTTTTATTCATGTAGTTTAATTATTTTAAAAGAAAAAAAAATACATAGCCAGAACATTTGTTTATCATATCATAAGAAATGTTTTCATTAAGGAGATTGTTAGCCCTCAAAATATTATATGCACTTGGCGTGGCTGTGGAGCACTATGCAGTATGGGCCCACTTTGGCCTGACCAATTTTGATGTCTCAAGTAATCCAGGAGAAATGAATGATGCAAGTTGTTTTTTTAAATATAACAATTTTCTCTTTTCCTCTTTCTAGGATTAAGTTGTCATCATTCTGGGAAGAAGAAGAAGAAGAAAAAAAAAAATATATATATAAAATACTTAACGAAGTGGCCAACAACGTGAGGGGCTCCTGGACCAGTTTCCTCCTGCTCCCTGCGGTGGATTTCACTTACAAGAAAATTGAAGCTGGCAAGACCCTGTTTTCTCTGCAATTTATTTAAAACCTTGCACGCATTTGGATACCTTGTGATTTCCGAGAACTATGTGAAGATTAAGCTTTGCTTACTGATACATGGCATGTATTCTTTTCAGTCCTTTGTGTTTGATTTTGTTTGATTTCCCTCTGCAGCGCAGCATCTCTGTAAAGGTTTTTATGCTTTCACCAGCCATGTCTTAAATACATTAAGACAACACATTGGGTGTTCACACTTCTGCAGTAATGTCTGTACTTGAAAGCCACACAGTGGCATAAAACAATGTGTGTTTTCTCTGAGAGCCCTGCGCTCTCCGCAGTCACCAGGAAGGACATTTTTTTGCTAAAGCTAACCCCTGTTTTCTGACTGACTAGACAGCATGGTCCCAGACAGTGGGGCCCCACCTGTGCCTCACCTTTTGAGGATATTTGAAAATGTTGGTTCTTTCTCTTGGAAATAACCATGCATTTGTATAGGCTATCGGGATCTGCTTAGCATTTTCAAGTCACAGAGCATGACTGTTTCTGAGCAGGTTGGAAGTAAAGAAACAAGTACGAGCACTAAAAAGGGGATGAAGGGCTGATTTTTCAACCTCTAGAAAGTGAGGTAACTTTTTACATTTGTTCTGGGTCTTGTCAACATCTTAATTTTCTTCCATCTACTCTGTTATAGTCTATATTTTCTAACTGGAGAAAATAGTGAAGAACATCATTTTTAAAACTTGGGTGCAAAAATTCATGTCTGGATGGGCCCTTAAGCAGTCTTGTCTGATTAGTGCTTAAAAAGAAAATTAGAAACTTACCCAGAATTTTGTTTACTCAGTTACAACAAAGCATCTTTGAATTAGATTGTTCAAAAACATTCCAAGCTGTTTGGGTACCTGACTTGAAACCAGTCTCCTGTAATAATGTTCAAATGCAAACTTTACAAGCAATGCAGACATCTTGCTTTGAAGACAGAAATGGAAAAGAAAGGCCCCAGTTCCCTTGTTTTAAGGAGTCTGGGGACCTTGGAGGATGAAGGTAGTTCTGTGTCACTGGGAGAAAGGGCATGCTGCCATGTATTGTGCCTGAATCTGGGGACCGTTGCCCAGTGCACGTGGCTCCTATAGGGCAACCTCGATGCAGAATCCTAGAAATGCTGAGGCCAAGGGGGCAGTTAGGAAACTTCATGTAGAGCATGCCCTTTGCTCCTCTAGACACAAATCCCTATGGAAATGCCTCTGTGCCTGTTGTTTTATGTTTTACTCCTTATCAAAAAGAAGGAGCCAGCTACAAGCTTGAAATGTGTCACACATTTTTCGGATCAAGACTAGGAATTATGATCCAGTTTGACAAGGGCTTTTGGGATGTCAGGTGAAGGAAAAGCTTTTTTGTAGTCAAACCCAATATACCCAAGGAAGTGGAGTCAGGTTTTCTAAGTTTTAGCGTGGTGCTGTCTGGCATGATGGGCATTGCCCATCCTACCCAGTTGGGGTATTCATTGCAATCTCACAGATGCTGAGCAAGGAATCACTCATTGATTTTAAAGGAAACAAAAGACACCCAAGGTGAGAATGTTTACCATTTGCTACTTGGAAATCGTTTTTCATTCCTCTTTTATGCATTCCTTCCACGGGAAACTTTTAGAGGCATTTTGCTTTAAAGTATACTTAAATTGAGATTTCTTAAATGGGGAAAAACTTTACCTGTAATTTGAAATGGCCTTTCCTGTGTAAGATGCTTAGAATCTTTTGTGTTTGTATTTCACTTAGTTTACTTCAAGAGCTTGATGCTAATGTTGAAAGGTTTCAAGTCGGAATTTGAGGGTCACTAGAGAGCCCTGCTCTGTTATAGACAGCTTCTCCTGGGAAGTAGGACATTACAACAAAGGAAAGTCAAAATCAATCTCTCTCTTTCTCTCTCTCTCTCTCTCTCTCTCTCTCTCTCTCTCTCTCCCTCCCTCCCTCCCTCTCTCTCTCCCTCTCTCTCCTCCCCCCTTCCTTCTCCCTCCCTCGTTCCCTCCCTCCTCCCTGCTCTGCCTTTCTCTCCTGCCCTCTGAAGGCATCATGAAAATCAGTACAGACTATGTTCATTAACATGTTGTTATACTATTGAGAAGGCACTGGAATGTGGTCAGACTATTTTTATGTGAAAGATAGCTTGAGTTTGGACAGCTGGTGAGAAGAGCATGGACCCCATTGGATGGTAATGGCATTACCAGGCCCTCACTACACACAGTATTCAGAAAGGAAGCATGGGACTTAGTTTCCATTTTCTTAAAGGCAACAGTTGAATTGATTTAGAAATACAAGATATATAGGACATGAAAAAACATTTGCTGTACTCAGCAAAATAGAGGCATAAGGCAGGGCAGCTGTCTCCCCACCATGCAAGGGTGAGGAGCTGTTCCTAGCTGCCAAGAGTGACTAAAAAAGTTTCCAAGGGAGCCTTCAAGCATATAGAGAAAGCAAGGCCTCTTAGTACCCTTTCCCCAGTGTGTATATGACAGCCAGTGTAATCAGCACCCTATGTATGCGTCCATATCAGATACTCATGCGAATATTACCGGGTTTGTAATCTTTGTTATATAAGAGGATGTTTAGGCTGTACATACTGGGGTAGATCATTGCCTGCCCCCTAAACATAGGAATATGCTGCATAACTGCATATGACTTCTGTCTCCTTTCCTGGCTTTTGGACAGAGGAAGCTGTATATGCCTTGCAGTTTCCTCATATACCAAACTAAAAACTTTAAAAATCTCAAAAAAATGAGCAGTTTCCTATTCTCATTCCCCCTCTCACAGCAGCATATGTTAGAAGCACATACAAAATCTACCTATTTGTTTGGGAGTGGACTTAAAATTTTTTCTTGCCTCTTTTTAAATTTTTGTTTGTATGATGCACTGAGATGTGTACTTTCTAATGGGGTTAGTACCTATGAAAGTGCTAACCTCATTCAGACACTCATTATGCTTCAAAATGACAGATAGTGAGGCGATTGGAATACTCCATGTTGCATATTTGTTACCAATTGTAATTTGTCTATATTATGAAGGATGTAATGGTTTGTCAACTGTCATTGTTGTTTTCTGTACCATGGTATGGAATAAAGTATAGCAGAATCTCCATACATTGTTTTGTCCATCTTCATAAATGCCCAACAAAACCATGTATCATGCTAAAGAAATGCTGCCTTAACCAGGTCATATGGTAGGTTCGTTTTTAGTTTTGTTTTGTTTTGTTTTTTAATGCTTTGAAGAATTTTTTTTTACACCCACTTCCCAGATGGCACCCTCCCATAGCCTCCCTCCCCCCACTAGAGCCCTTATACTCTGATATCCCTGCTACTGTCTGCTGTGTTGTCGGCACCCCCAGCCATTCCCCACTACTTGCCCTTCTGGTGAATCTAGTCAGCCTATCTAGAGGTCTTTGTTTTAGGAGGGTCAGCTGTTCCTCCTCTAGCGGTAATCAGTTGTCAATATTCCTTTCGATAAGATTAGGATCTGCTGTTCATGTTTTTAGTTTTTTAAGAGTTCTCCACACCGTTTTCTATTGGGGTTGCACAAGTTTGCAATCCCACCGGCAAAAACTCCCCAACACAGTCCTCCCTAAAGACTGCAATAAGAGACCAGTGCACAATGTGTAGGAATGAGTGAGTTTCTAGAGGGATCCAGAAGTCTTGTAAGTCTCCCTTTCCTTCTTTGCTGTGCCAAATTTAGGCAAAGAAGCAGGGGCCCTATGCAGCAAATGTGTGAGCTGCCGGCCTCCTGGCCCTGTGCTCCTGGTCACCACCTGCCCTACCTAGCTCAGGTGCACTGGGAGCCTATCTGATGCTGCATAAAGACAATCACATTTATCCTTTACTAGCTTTCCTCCACTCTTTTGCGCATAGCCTAAGATGAGGTAAGTGACCCTCTACTGAATGAATACAAACTAAACTTCAGCATGCAGGTACTCTGTGAGAAGTGATCTGCTCTCCTGCTGAGCTGGCATGTATCTGTGAACACCATCTAGAGAGAACCTGTTTCTGAGAGAACAGGTCAGTGCTGGGAGCCCACATATTGATTGACAGCACTGACTTGGAAGACCCACCCCTTTCCTACTGTCACCTTGTTGGATCCGTCAGAACCCCAAACACACCTACAGGATTTGACACCTTAATAAGGTTCATGAAAATAGAAGCCTGTAAACAGGGTATTTGGTGATTTGAAAGCCTTTGCAAGACTACATTTCATTTAAGAAGACCCAGGAATCCTGGCTTTCCCTGTGCAGACCCCTATACAGCAAGAATAGCTGGGAGTTTTTTTCTCCTGTTCTGCAACTGCTGGGATTCCCACCTTTAAGTCCTCCACAGAGCCATATTCCCATAGTTAAATGAAACTATTCTTAGCCACTGCAGCGCAGCTCATGAGAGCCACCACTTTTCAGCCCCCAGCTGCTTCTGCTCTTTCCTCTACAATATGGAGGCACCTGTGCTAAGAGAAATGCACTTTGAGACAATCGCTGTCTCATCACTTTGTTCTGGGATAGGAGACTGCATGCAGGTGAATTTCAAAGTAGCAGTACTTTGCAAATTTATTAGTTAATTGGGATCCATAAATTACTGTGGAAAGCAACTAAAATTGCAGAAGTATGAAAGGAGTCACTGGTTCTAGGGTGATGTTTCAAGGAAACAAAACGACCACCATATTTCACTTCCGAACAGCTGTCTGCCCACTCTGAGAGTCACTCCCAGCAGCCTTGGTAGCTAACATACGTTTTAGAGCTTGAGTGCATGTCTGCATTGATTTAATCATATGAGCTCCAATAGAAGAAAAGGCAGGGAGGCCTGGTATTGACAAAAGGCCAAAGAAAGTCCTTTTAGATGTATTTTTAATCTTAAATGTGGCAGTAGAGATGTCAAGCATCCTCTGAATTCCATAATTACCCAGCATTCCTTTCTTTTTCACCAGGGACTATTCTGGCTCTGGCAGGATGGAGGATGTGGTGCTGTCTGAACCAGGCAGTCAGGAGGACAGCACCCCTGTAGTTGCTTTTGGCCCCCAGGGTAAAGAGAAACCAGAGGGGAAGGTGTTGGAGCAACCTTGTGCCACCGGGTTAACACATACAGTTGCTGAATAACAGGCAGGCATTGTAAATCACTGCAATGAGAACCCCACAGTGGCCCAGCAGCCCGCTGTTACCAGTGGGTGGTGGCGTTATGGGCATTAGCTTTGAGAAGCTTATATAGCAGAAGGGCTAGGATAAAGGACACAAATCAGGGAAAAACTGACAAGATTAAAAAAATCCAAGGCCTCGTATTTACTGTTCATCTCCCATGCTCTCGGTGCGCTCTGTATTGTCTGCCTTGAGTCATGCTGAGAGAGAGCCAGGCACAATAATAGCTCGGAGCAGCTTCCAAGCCCCAGAGCCAGCCTGTGCCAATGGTACCGACAGTGCTAGTGGAGAATGGGATTCTGATAGAGTTGTCTTTTTCCCCCTTCCCTGTGAGACCTCCAATAGTTATGGATGGTGTACTGCAAAGATCGGGTAGGGGTTGTCTGTTAGGGTGTATCCTGAGAAGTGACTCAGCAGGGAGTCCTGCAGAGGTATGTTCTATACAGCCCAGAATGGCCTGCCTGATACACGCAGATGGTCTCTGAAAGTCCAACAACACATCCGAACCAGCTGTTGAAGGGCATAGAAAGGCTTGTAAAACTGAGAGCCTTACAAACTATACCACAGTGGGGCTGGAAAGATGGCTCAGTGGCTAAGAGCACAGGCTGCTCATGCAGAGGACTAGGTTTGATTCCCAGCACCCACATAGAGACTGACAATTGTTCCAGGGGAATCCAGTGCCCTCTTCTGACTTCTGTGAACATTGCATAATACGGGTACACTTACATACATGTAGGCAATACACTCATACATAAAATAAAAATAATAAATAAAATACCTTTTAAAAGTAAAAATACAAAGCTCCTTGGGAAAATCAGACAAGGGTTTTGCAGCTATCTTGCCTAACACTTGGGAAATTCAGACCCTCATGCAGTCATTCACTAACATAGTAGCTCACAGCCCTGACTCACTGGAATTACCAGGAAGTTTTCACAACACCTCCACCCCAGGGCAATTCATTCTAGAAGTATTGAGGGTGGGGACCTGGCACTGGTCAGTTTTGGGAACTCAACAGGTGGCTATTGTACAGCCAGCATGGGAACTGCTGGATTCTTCCTTTCCTCCTGCCTGTGGTCTACTGTAGGAACAGGTGCATGGGCCAAAGAATCAGCACTTTTGCCTTTGCCACCTGTGCAGTCTCTGCCACAACTACTCATTTGGCCATTGTAGTATGAAAAGAGCTATTTACAACACAATGCATGCATTCTGATGAAAAAAATTGTGCAAACTCAGACTTGGCTTTCACCTAATTTGCATATATGTGAAATATTGTTTTATTTTTGATTTTTAAAAGGTATTTAAAAATACAAAAAACAAGCTGGAGAGATGGCTCAGAGGTTAAGAGCACTTGCTATTCTTGAAGAGGATCTGGATTCAGTTCCCAGTACCCACATAGTGGCTCACAACCATGTGTAACTCCAGTTCCAAAGGATATGACACCATCTTCTGGCCTTTGTGGGCACTGCATGTATGTGGTGCACATAAATACATGTAGGCATGTACTCATACATATAAAACAAAAATAAATGTTTAAAGAAATATAAAATCACTATTTAACTGATGGGCAGGGGTTGACCTGATCTCTGTAGTTTGTGAGACCTTGGTTTAGATCGGATCTAATTTTCTCATTCATAGAGTGAGGAAATCCCTATTTGCTCTTCATGTAGAATGTCTCATTTGTATGAGAGTTTCTTAAACTTTTTGCACTTGCAACCATTTTCTCACCTGAAAAACTGATACACTACCCTTAATATATAGTTATATAAAATAGGTACACAAATCAAATATTTATTCATAAAGAAATTTATTTTAGGACTGGTGAGATGGTTCAGTGGATAAAGGTGCTTGCTACCAAGCCTTACGGCCTCTGTTCAATCCCCAGAACCCAAAGAGTTTAGGAAAGAATTGACTGCCATAAGTTTTCCATGGCACATGCTCATACACACAAATACGCAATAAATAAATCTAAATGTTTTTAATTTTAAAATTTTGTTTTAAAACAATTATTTGCTATACATACAATTTTTACCTTTTATTCAAAACAAAACCAAATCAGCGTGTTAAGGAGATGAATGTGCTTAATTATTTTTATACAGAGAATTAAATTTTGAGTATTTGATGCTGAAGAACGTAGAGCATCTTCAGTTTTTTCAGAGGTATTTTGATTTTACAATTGTCAATGTTGAAACTTTGAATAAATACATAGTACAAAATGGCAGGTTTAGGACCATTTAAGAAATGTAAAATCTGACCAAATACCAATGCAAAATTCACTTAACAACTTTTCATGAAACTCAAGTCATCAATTCAGACAGCAATTTTTAAAATCAAACATTCTAACACATATCAAAAATATGCTAATTTTATACTTGCACATTGGAGAATGGTGGCAGAAGAATATTGTCTTTTCCACAGTAAAACCATTGTGGTTCTAGAAGAGCAGAACGTTCTGTATGTGTAGGAAAAAAACACAGTTCCTGGCATACAATAGTCTCAAGTCTGAGTTGAGGTGTATGATTCAGCAGTTGTTGGCACTGGGTGGTTTGGCTGCGTGTGCCATGCAAAGTGCACACACATGCAGAATCAAGACTGCAGTGAAGTTGTGCCGTGTAACAAGGGTGAGTACTGGCAGAAATATCTTGAATTCATGCATATTTGATTTTGAAGTAATTTTTAGCTGTGCATTCAGAAAACTTTTACTATTGCCAATTTTCGGGGATCCCTACATTCATTTACAAGATCCTATATGGGTCACAACACATGGTTGAAGAAGCTGTTTAGAATATGGCCCTGATAATGGGTGGATATGACTGCCCCCAACTTTCGCAAGACCCAGGATCAGCGCATAAATGACTGTGTTTCTAAATCTTTAATATACAAATCTAGCTAATATCCTGGCTGCATTCTAGTCTATTACTTTGAAATATACCTTCATAATGACCAGAAGATCAGATTTACACAGAGTTCTTGG